ACATCTCTCCCCGGGGGGGGGGGGGGACACATACACACACACACTCAGCCCACTCCGTCCCTTCCCTAGATTGCACCCCATAAAAACAGACTTTAGTCCAACTTCAGTTAAGAACAAAGTCTCACCGAGGGTTATAATAATCAGTCTTTCCAAGATAAGGAGTCAGTGTCAGGACCCACAGCGACAATGAAGTACACACTTGCAGGAAGGTTTTACTTTATTTGAAGCTGTAGATGCATGGACAGGAACATTGTTAGGAATGACAGGCAAACTGTGCGCATGGAAGGTTATAGTACATTCATATCAGCAACATCCAATTACTATGGTTCCCGCACGCGCCTTGCGGCCTGAGAACCAACTGCTACCCAAAGCAAAACAGGTACGAGCTTCCCACGGCTCATCCCGACTAAAGCCAAAGCAATAACCTCAGCGACTCCTCCAGCGGCCTTGAAAGATAGTTGCTGCAGCTGAAGCGGCAATTAAGCGCAGGCGAAGGAATGCGCATTGGAAAGGAAACAAAAAGAAACTTGGCAGCTTGCTGACAGTTGCATGAAAAGGTTTTTCCACAGGCCTGGCCCAAGTGCTTTTAACAGAACCGAACTTAGAAAGGTATCTGAAATAAACCTGTGGCCACCCTGAAGTAGCTGAATATGGTCATGTCCAGATGCCATAATTTTGTTGTGATAGTTCCTTTCATGTTTGAGCAATATGTAAGTCAGAATATAAGTAAAGAGAAACTAGTATTTGGCTGTATTTTTTTCCTTTTTGTAAATAGTACTTTTTTGGTTTAAGGTAACTCAGACATTCCCCCTTCATGCCAAATTGGGTAGCTCAGATCGTTTGGTGTTTGTTTGGTGTCGTGGTATAAGTGGGCGGACTCTGATCTGGGAGAACCGGGTTTGATTCCCCACTCCTCCACTTGCACCTGGCTGGATGACCTTGGGCAAGCCGTAGTTCTGATAAGAGCTGTTCTTGAAAAAGATCCGTTTCTGGGAAGAGCTCTCTCAGCCCCACCTACCTCACAGGGTGTCTGTTGTGGGGAGGGGAAGGGAAAGGAGTTTGTAAGCCGCTCTGAGACTCCTCTGGGTAGTGAAGGGCGGGGTATAAATCCATTTTTTTTCCTCTTCTTCTTTTGTAATATAGATAGCTTCCAGAAAATACTTTTTTTGTATGCACGGTGACAGTGTTCCTCGATATCTGAGCCAAGAGATTTTCTCATCGTCTCCTGCCTTAATTGCCCTACCTCTTACCGGATGCACTTGGAGTCGTGGGAAGGAAATGGCATTTCTGGTATTCCACTGCCACTCTAAATCCAAAATCCGCAGAGCCCACAGCTAAAAGTAGTTTTGTTGTTGTTCAGTCGCACAGTCGAGTCCGTCTCTTCGCGACCCCATGGACCAGATCACGCCAGGCCTTCCGGTCTTCCGCCGTCCTCTGAAGTTGGCTCAATTTCATGTTCGTTGCATCGATGACACTGTCCAACCATCTCATCCTTTGCCGTCCCCGTCTTCTTTGACCTTCAATAAAAGTAGTTTTATTCCCCTAATAATTTTGCAAATTGCTTTTAATTAAAACAAATCTAGAAGTTTCAGCCCTGGCCCCCACCTGGTGGAATGCGCTACCGTGTGAGATCGGGGCCCTGTGGGATTTATTACAATTCTGCAGGGCCTGTAAGATGGGACTCTTCCACTGACATGGTGTCAGACTCCTGCAGCAATCAGTTCCCAACAGCTTTCATTCAAAGAAGTAAAGTTTATTGAGACACTGAGAGTGTGCAGATATCCTGGCACTTCTAGTGTTAGAACTGGCCTAGAGCGCGGGAAGCTCAGGTCCAATCGGAAGCCAGGTAGAACCCCGTAAAGGGCAATCATTCTCAGGAGAAAAGTACACCAGACACTCAAGGTCGAAGGCTTCGGTTACATAGATAAAGAGAGACTGGGAATACAACAGAAATGAAAGTTAAAATTCCAGAGTCCCCCCCCCCCTCACACCCATGGCAGTTAGACCAGCCAGAGGCCTTGCTGACATAGGTTGCCGGCCCCCCCCCCCGGCTCGCCCCCCCCCCCCCCGTCAACGGCCTGGATCCTTAATTTTTAATTCCGTCTTAACCGCTAAGATATCTGATATCCGTTAGCGTTTGCATAGTATTTTAGGATTTGTGTTATTTTATACTGTTGTTTTAAGTGGTCATAACTGTATTGATATATTTTATTTATATTGTTGGAACCTGCCCTGTGCCTACTTGTGAGGAGGGCGGGATCTCTAATCTGGGAGGACCGGGTTTGATTCCCCACTCCTCCACTTGCACCTGGCTGGATGACCTTGGGCAAGCCGTAGTTCTGATAAGAGCTGTCCTTGAAAAAGAGCAGTTTCTGTCAAGAGCTCTCTCAGCCCCACCTCCCTCACAGAGGGTGTCTGTTGTGGGGAGGGGAAGGGAAAGGAGTTTGTAAGCCGCTCTGAGACTCCTCTGGGTAGTGAAGGGCCACGGTGTATAAATCCAATCTCTTCTTCTTTTTCAAGTAGATAAATAGATAAATCCCTGGAAGAGATTTGGTTTTGCAGTAGCCTGGCTAGAAACACGGGTGGGCCAGGGGGGTGTTTGTTCCCCCTCCCGTGTCTTTCATGGGCCACTTTTGGACCACAACGAGCCCATCCATCCCCCCCCCCAAGTGGTGGCCCTCAGTCAGCTCCGCGGTTTCTCGGGAGCCTCCTCTGGCACTCCGATGTCAGCTTACAGCCGACGCTTCTCCTTGCTTCGCAGGAATGGAGCAGGGGACGCTGGAGCGGATCCAGCTGGCGGCGCACGACGTGGAAGGGGAGAGCGCCTACAACCCCGTCTTGGCAGAGAGGCTCATCAGGATAATGAGCTGCGCAGCTCAGCCAGGTAGGCGGCGGGCTCCTTGCGAGGCGGTCTCTTGCACGTGAGCCGGGGAGAAATCGCCACCACCGCGGCAGGGCAGTGCCCCGCACAGCAGCCAGAAGCAGCCGTCGGTCGCTGCAGTAAGGTTTCTGCCTAGCTCAGTTTCCCTTCCCCCCTCCCTTTTCGCAGATGGCAAAATCCGTTTGGCTACCCTGGAGCTCGGCTGCCTGCTGCTGAAGCAGTTGGTGGTGTCCAAGCACGGCAGCATCATTAAGGACGTTCACTTGGCCTGTCTGGAAGTAAGTGTGGCGTTTCGGGGGGGGGGGGATTTTTTTGTCGTGGCCGCAAGTTTGCTGATCCGGAGCGACTTGTAGACCGTTCCCGTCGGTCACCTCTACTGGCTTGGTTCTGCAAGAATGTACCTCAAAAAATGATGGTCACAGTCACAGAACAGACCCCAAAATGAAGAAAGAAACTGTGAGGTAACTGCGCTAGATAATATTTCAATAATAATCACAAAATTGTACAAATATGTGTGCAGAAAATTATATAAATATACAAGACAATAAATGATGTGTTGACGATGGTCTCCGGAATGCTCTATCATTTCGATACTGTTCTTCTTCCGAGAATGAATGAAAACAGCGACTCTTGGTCTGTCTTTTCAACTAGTGGGTATCAAAAATCCATAATATTCACCGATGTATCATGACTTAATTGCAAGAGTTTCTCTGACAGAATGTTCCTAGGGCAAGGTGCTTGTATAAAACTCTTGCAATTAAGTCATGATACATCGGTAAATATTATGGATTTTTGATACCCACTCTTCCATTCTCGGAAGAAGAACAGTATCGAAACGATAGAGTATTCCGGAGACCATTGTCAACACATCATTTATTGTCTTGTATATTTATATAATTTTCTGCACACATTTTTGTACAATTTTGTGATTATTATTGAAGTATTATCTAGCGTAGTTACCTCACAGTTTCTTTCTTCTTTTTGCGGTCTGCAACAATGTACGCCAGCCTCCTCCCACAAGTCGAGCTGAGAGTGTGGGTTGGGGAGGGAGGTTCTAGACTCATTACACCGAGGGGGCAGGCCCGGAACGGCCTTAAACTCCATGCCATTGGCCCACCTGGCTTTATTGGGGTCTCCTCTTGGGGCAGGTGTTCAGCTGCACCGACACGCCATGACTGCCCTCTGGATATTATAAGTCCACCACTGGCCTGTCTTGTCCACGCAGGAGAGTCTGTTCATGAGTTATGGGTATAGTGCTTTTAGTGCTGTAGAGCCAGCCAACGCTCCCTCTCAGCTGTGGAGTCCCGTGAGCTCCTGGCATTAAAGTGGTGAGCGAGCGATTTGACTCCGGCATAAATCAGTTTGCTCTGGAGCCACATCCTTCCTGAGCTGAGACAAAAAAACGTGTGAGCCGGAGGCTAAAAAAAACTGTGAGCTGGCTCACACTGACTCAGCTTAGAGGGAACAGTGGAGCCGGTGTGGTGGAGCAGTTAGAGGATTTGTTACCCGGGCCAGATTTGATATGAGTGTCACCTTGTCGCGCCAGGCCGTGCGTGCGACAAAATGTAATGCCAGGTACGGGAAATATAAGCTTTATGAAGGACACCCAGCTAATGAGATTATGGTTTACTAAAATACAGACATACTTAAAACATTAACACTCTTACAGTATGTCCTCAGAGTATCTCCCTTATGCCTGCCCTACCGCTTCCACCACCCGTTAATCATTAGCCCTGGGACAGTATGCAGGGGCATTATTATTATTATTATTATTAGTAGTAGTAGTAGTAGTAGTAGTAGTAGTAGTAGTAGTAGTAGTAGTAGTAGTAGTAGTAGTAGTAGTAGTAGTAGTAGTAGTAGTAGTAGTAGTAGTAGTAGTAGTAGTAGTAGTAGTAGTAGTAGTAGTAGTAGTAGTAGTAGTAGTAGTAGTAGTAGTAGTAGTAGTAGTAGTAGTAGTAGTAGTAGTAGTATTATCATTATTATCATTATTATCATTATTATTATCAATAACAAAAACAACAACAACAACAACAAAACAACAACAACAACAACAACAACAACAACAACAACAACAACAATAATAATAATAATAATAATAATAATAATAATAATAATAATAATAAATCACCCCGACAAGCAAGTCCTAGGTTACAAACTGAAGTCTCCAATGCAAGAACAAGATGCATTTCTTCCTTTAGGAGGTGCTATTGTCACAAGAAAAGAAAAAGGTTTCGGGGGGGGGGGTTGCATGTGGGTGGGTATTCTGTTTGTAATAATTGTTTGGATACACTATATTTTTAATAGGCTAGTTGTGATAATTTCATGCCAAGTTAAAATCTCCATAGTCATATTTTATGTTCCTAAAGTAACAGAATGGCCTTCAATCTGGAAAAGCAAAAAGAAGTGCTAACGTAGGATTTTTTTTCAATTTTTCCGAAAATTTCCGGGTTTTTCCCAAAAAAACCCCAGGTTTTTTTCCGAGCTTCAAATTTTCCGGACATTTTACATCTCTAGCTCTGGGCGATGTACAACCTGAAATAAAACAAGATAAACTTAATTGAAACCTTAATGCAATATTAAAAACAAACAGATGGCGAATAACCAATCCTCCTTCCAGCTCCCACTGCCAGCTACTTCGTGGACGGGGGGTGGTGGTGTGTAAAATAGATGTAGACAACAGGGAACGGGGAGGGTGCCGGCCAAGACGGAACCGTCGCTGTCCTCAGCCCAAAGCCTGGCGGAGCATCTCTGCCTCGCAGGCCCCGCGGAATTGCTTCAGGTCCCGCAGGGGCCTGATGGAATTTGGTAGGGAGTTCCACCAGGTTGGGGCCAGAACCGAAAAGGCCCTGGCCCTGGCCGAGAGCAGCCGGATGTCTTCAGGCCCAGGGATTGCCAGTAGATTGCTCTCCGACATAACACACAGAGTCTCCGTCATCTGGCAATAAAGGTAATGACCAGTTGCTTGCAGGGCTGATAAGAGCCCTGGAAGTTCCGGTTCTGGCCCACGGGCCATATGTTTGACCAGGGCTCTTTTTGTAGAAAAAGCCCAGCAGGAACTCATTAGCATAATAGGCCACACCCGACAGCAGGGACTCATTAGCATATTAGGCCACACCCCTAGCAGCACAGCTCATTAGCACATTAGGATGCACCCCCATGTTACCAGAAGTGTAGTCATCCAGCCACACCCACCGTTTGCTTCTTATTCTGTTTACCTTGTTGTCAAAACCCAGGGCTTTTTTTTGTAGCAGGAACCCCTTTGCATGTTAGGCCACACACCCCTAATGTAGCCAATCCTAATGAGTTTCTGCTGTTGGGTGTGGCCTATTATGCTAATGAGATCCTGCTGGGTGTGGCCAACTTGGGAGCCAGCCGTAACTCCGTTCCTGTGGGTTCCTGCCCAAAAATTGCCCTGTGTTTGACGCTCCTAGGTTAAAGTGTTGGACTAGGATCGGGGGGGGGCGTCCTGGGTTCGAATCCCTGCTCTGTCAGGGAAGCTTGCAGGTTGACCTTGGGACAGTCACATAAACTCTCTGCCTCACCTACCTCACGAGGTAGTTGTGACGCTAAAACGGAAGAGAGGAGAGTGGTGTGATCTGTTTTGGGTCCCCCTTGCGGACAAGAGCGGGGTGCAGATCGAAGCAGACACATGGCACAGTATCGCACCTTGCACGTGCGACTTCCTCCTCAGGCCAAGGTCTTTCTCTGGCCTTCGAGCCCAAGATCCATGATCAAGGAATGTGATCAAGCCTGTTCTGAACTGAGACGTTTGTCCTTCCAGGGTGCAAGAGAAGAAAGCGTTCACCTGTTGCGGCGTTTTTATAAGGTATTTTCTTGCATTTAGTATCCCAGGCTGCCTACTAGAAGGGAGGGCAGATGGAGCATTCCTTACGAGCGCATTCGGGTCAGCCCCAACTTGCAATGTTCCCTCTAAACTGTGGAGTCTTGTGAGCAAAAATTCTACTTTGCGAGCGCCTGGCATTCAAGCTGTGAGTGAGCGATTTGGCTATACTGCATGTTAGTTTGCTCTGGAGCCCTCCTTCCTGAGCGAAGACAAAAATGTGTGAGCCTGAGGCTAAAAATCTGTGAGCTAGCTCACACTAACTCAGCTTAGAGGGAACACTGGCCCCAAGAGAAGAGTTGCAATTGAATGGGGGAGGGGGAACAGTATGTGGATCTTTTCCTGGCTTAACAGCACAGAGCTTGGCCAATGTGCATGTTGTTTCTTTCAGCAGAGAAGACCCATCAGTGAGAGGCCACATGAGTTCAAGCAGTTTGGTGTAGTGGTTAAGTGCAGGGACTCTGGGAGAACCGGGTTTGATTCCCCACTCCTCCTTCACTTGCACCTAGCTGGATGACCTTGGGCAAGCCGTAGTTCTGATAAGAGTTGTCCCTGAAAAAGAGCAGTTTCTGTCAAGAGCTCTCTCAGCCCCACCCACCTCCCAGGGTGTCTGTTGTAGGGAGGGGAAGAGGAAGAAGTCCGTAAACCGCTCTGAGACTCCCTTGGGTAGTGAAGGGTGGGGGTATATATCCAATCTCTTCTTCTCTTCTTCTTCTCACTAATTTTGTAGCCCATTTTTTGAGAATTCTGTGTGGAGCATTTTGCCTAGCGGATCCCTTGCCTCAGTGCCCTGTGCCCTCTCTTCAGGGGGGATACATCCTGCAGTGAAGCTCGCACTGCGGCTAGGCCACCCACAGGGAAACGGGCGTGGCTCTCCCATAGCCACGGCAGACACGGTTCATCCACCGCTCTTGGAGGGGGAAAGGGGTCTCTTTTCCCACATTACATTCCCGCCACTGTTTTTTGGTCTCTCTAAAGTGGAGCAGCGGTGGCTCAAGTGGTTAAGACGCTGAACTGCAGGCTGTGAAAGGTCGGTAGTTCAGCAGTTCGAGACCCGGGTGCCGCATGACGGAGTGAGCTCCCATCTCTAGTCCCAGCTCCTGCCAACCGAGCAGTTCAAAAGCAAGAAATTGCAAGTAGATCAATAGGTGCCACTTCAGTGGGAAGGTAACAGCGTTCCGTGCGCCTTGGTGTTTAGTCATGCTGGCCACATGACCACGGAACCATCTTCGGACAGCGCTGGCTCTTCAGCTTGGAAATGGAGATGAGCATCTCACCACCTGGCTTTCGAGCAAGGGGAACCTTTACCTTTAAAGCGGTGTCAGAGCTGGCTTGCACACCAGGTGACTGTAAAGGTATCCCCTTCCGGCCTGGACAACTTGGCAGGGCCCATGTGCAGTTGTCGCCAGCACACCCACACAAGAACACTGCAATAAAGTTGGCATATGTGCAGTTGGCAGCAACGCTCCCTCCAACCTGTGGAGTCCTGTGAGCAAACATTCTACTTTGTGAGCTACTGGCATGAAAGTTGAGAGCAGGTGATTTGGCAACTGCATAACTTCGTTTGCTCTGGAGCCCTCCTTCCTGAGCGAAGGCAAAAACGGGTGAGCCAGAGGCTAGAAAACTGTGAGCTAGCTCACACTCACTCAGCTTAGAGGGGGAACATTGGTTGGCACAGAGTGTGGCTGCCGTCACATGCGCTTTGGCGATGGCACGCACGGAGGTGCCGGTTCGAGCCCGGCGAACGTGCCGTGTGGTATCTGGCACTTCCTCGGCAGCAGCGTCGAGCGGATGCCTTCCTTTTTAAAAGGTTCCTGGAAGCTGCAAGGGGGGAAATGGGCCCGTGACTTCTCTGGCCTTCCCTTCAAAAGCAGGGCCGACGGCGAAGGTCGTGTTTTCCATACAGGGCAAATCAGAGGGGGCACGTAAGTGCCGACCTTGAAGTCCTGCCACCGAAAGAGAAAAATCTGTCATCGAGTCATCTGAAGAAATTAGCGTCAGGGCTCGGTTAGCGTGGTCAGGAGGCATTCTCCCAAGAATGCAGCTTGGCAGGCAAAGAAATGTGCTTTTCCTTGAGGCGTTCAGACCACCGTTTAACGAGGAGCAGACGGTTCGCGAAGGGCCAAAGACAGCTGTCTTGTTTCCTTTAAAGGGAGAAGAGATTTTCCTGGATATGTTTGAAGACGAGTACAGAAGCATGACGGTAAGCAAACACGCGATGGGCTGGGGCCGCAGAGCAGGGTTCCCCAACGTGGTGCCCTCGGGCACACCGGTGCCTGCCCACACCTTTCCTGGCGCCCACCAAGTGCTTTTAAAACGCAGACGGGTCCAGGTGGGACTTTTACCCAGCAGGGCAAGTTCCGACTAGCAGCTGGAGATGTGATTGGCTTTGTAGATTTTTTTTTTGCCACCGCCGCCTCTGCAGCACTGCATGACCGAGGGTCAGCCGTTGTGTCAGAGAGAAACATCACTTTAAACCGGTTTAAAAGGTGTCCCGTCAAGCAGAGCTTCTGCCTGGAATGTTGAAGAGCTCCTGTTAGGGGCACGCATGCCTTCAGTCCTTGGAATGTTGCGGCTGGCTCCACCCCCTCTGGCAGCCATCTTGTGACTGCGCCCACCGTCCCGTGTCAGAATTCGAATGATGCCTACTGGCTCAAAAAGACTGGGGGGGACTCTACTGTCGAGGGACGGGCAAAACTGGGACGTCCGTGTGCATTGTCTTGGGGGGAGGCTGCCTCTAAAAAGAAAACAAAAATCTAGGGCTTGGCACCCAATGTGCGTGTGCCGTTCAGAGCTCGTAGGCGAATGCATAGTTTGTCCAAATCCCGAGTGGGGCTTGCTGAAACGCACGAGACGCGATTTAAGTGGCAGAAATAAAATGTTGTCATAAAGGCGTAGTGTGGGATCCGCCGGTGTGGTCTCGCCTAACGTTCTTTGCCAGGCGGAAGAGTTCCGAGTTGGCGAAGCTCACCTGTCCAAACTATTTCTCAGAGAAGAAACCACGGCCCCGCTTGCAATCCAAAGAACTGTGCAACTCGTTCCATCATGTGGGCATGGGAGGTGGCAAATATTTCTCAAACAGTAAGACACCTCCCCTCCATACCATGTGACAAGCTACTTTTTGAAACTGAGCAGAATTTGGAAAGCAGCTTGCCTTCCTGGGAAGGTCTGCCGTTAAGGTTTACAAGCACGCTGCTAAATGCGCCCAGCACGCCCGAAGCAGGTGTTTGGAATCCCCCCCCCCCCGGGTTTCTTTAAGAAATTAGAGTTCCACATGCAGCTGAAGAGAGCCATGTCCTCAGTCGCAGAGAGCCAGTTTGGCATAGTAATTAAGTGCACAGACTCTAATCTGGGAGAACCCGGTTTGATTCCCCACTCTTCCTCTACTTGTCGCTGCTGGATGACCTTGGGCAAGCCACAGTTCTGTCAGAGCTGTTCTCACAAGGACAGTTCCACAAAGAGCTCTCTCAGCCCCACCTACCTCACAGGGTGTCTGTTGTGGGGAGGGGAAGGGAAAGGAGTTTGTAAGCCGCTCTGAGACTCGTAATTTCTGAAATGGTAGTCATTAAAAGCCCTGGTTTTTCTGCTGAATGATGAGCAGGCAGCTGAAACGGACAAGTCTTGATGCCTGGAGAGAAAGTTCCGTCAACCAGGACTCCATTCAGGCGTCACTCACGTTTGCCAGCTAGAGCTGCAATCCACACGCCCCCGGGTCTGGTACCCAAAGTGTGTGAAAGCGCAGTGAAAATCATAAGATGATGTGATGCGCGGCCGAAAGGGCTGGCCGAGGGGTGAGAAAGCAAGAAGGGTGGGAGGAGGAGGAGGAGAGGGCGGATGGGTCACCCCAGGCAGGGCGTTCTGTCAGAGAGAGGTGTGCATTTCCCATCGTGGTAGGCACAGCGAACAGGGCCTTTTGGGTGGCAGCCCCCTGGTTATGGGACAGCATCCTCAGGGGGGTGCACCTGGCCCCCTCTCGGGTAGCCATGTCCTAGGTCTGGGATGTGGAGGAGTGCCCTCCCGTTTTCTGTCTCAGCTCTCCCTGGCTGACCATCTGTTTGCTATTTTACGCTTGACCTTGTAGATGCTCCAGCTGCAGGTTTTCTCGACTGGGAAAGTTAACGGCTTTTTTGCTTTGCCCGCTTGCTTTGCTCGCGTGCGCAAGATGTATCCATTGGCTCATGCCTACAGGGGGGATGTCTGATTCCAGTATAAGTCAGAGGCCCCCGTATTGGTGGCCATTCCTGACACAAGCTGTACACGTGTCTCTAGTACTGGATCTACCAATAAACAGTTATCTTCTCAAGAAGCCCTTGTGTTGCGTAACCTGACTAAGGACCCTGATATCCCCTCACTCTCAGTCTTCAGGAGGCAGTTCAAGACCACTTTCTTTAGGATGGCATATGACTAGTTTTTAGTTACTGGCAGTCCTAATTGAGATTTTAAATTGTGGTCTTTTACGTGTGTCGTCGTGGTTTTCTTCAAGTCGGTAGCCGCCTTAAGTTCCAAAAGGTAGAAAGGCAGCTAAAAAGCATTTTCAATAAATGAAATGAAATAAGTTGTTCCTTGGCTTTCTGGGACGGAAACCACCACAGTAGGCCAGACGAGCGTATGACCCCATGTATAATAAAACCAGTAAAGAAAAGCCCCTGGGGCGGGGAGGGGGGTGTTGCTGCTTGCCCCTGAGCCAAATCACCGAGATCTGGTTTGTCTCCTGGGTCTGAGAGGGCTTGGGGCTTGTTCCTTTCACAGCCCCGTTCAGGATTGGGATGGGGGAGACATGTTGCAGGTTAAGTTTCGAATGGTCCGTTGCACGCTCATGGTGAGGTTTCTTTCCCAGCTGAAGCCCATGAACGTGGAGTACCTGATGATGGATGCTTCCATCCTGCTGCCGCCGACGTGGACGCCGCTAACGGGGATCGATTTTGTAAAGAGGCTGCCATGTGGAGACGTGGAAAGGACACGCAAGGTGATTTTCTAGGGCTCTTTCATTGTGGGGGGTGAGTGAAGAAGGGAGGAGGTACCACATGTGGTCTGGTCACTGCCGGGCCGCTGCCCATCTTCATGCCTGGCAGTGTTCCCTCTAAGCTGAGTCAGTGTGAGCTAGCTCACAGTTTTTTAGCCTCCGGCTCACGCATTTGTGTCTTCGCTCAGGAAGGGATGGCTCCAGAGCAAACTTAATTTATGCAGCAGCCAAATCGCTCGCTCACAGCTTTAATGCCAGTAGCTCACAAAGTAGAATTTTTGCTCACAGGACTCCACAGCTTTGAGAGAGCATCGACTCCTGGTCCCGTTGCGCGGGGCAGAAGGGACCGTGGATGTGCAGGAATTGGTAGCGATGGGGGCTTCCCCTTCCTTGCCGTTCCAGCTGAGGTGGGGGTCAGAGGCAAAGATGGTGACGTTTTGCTTGCCTTTGCCTTATGACCTTTCGCAAGGGGCTGATTGTAAAGAGAGGAGAGAAGGCAGGAGCAGTAATAGCAGCAGTGGTGTCCGGCAGTGTTCCCTCTAAGCCTAGCTCACAGTTTTTTAGCCTCCGGCTCACACTTTGTTTCTTAGCTCAGGAAGGAGGGCTCCAGAGCAAACTAACTTATGCAGTAGCCAAACTGCTTCCTCACGGGTTTAATGCCAGTAGCTCACAAAGTAGAATTTTTGCTGACAAGACTCCACAGCTTAGAGGGAGCATTGATGTCCGGGAATCTGGGTGATAAACCAGTTTGGTGTCATGGTTAAGTGCGTGGACTCTAATCTGGGAGAACCAGGTTTGATTCCCCACTCGCCCACTTACCCCTGACTGGATGACCTTGGGCAAGTCCTAGTTCTGACAAGAGCTGTCCTTGAAAAAGAGCAGTCTCTGTCAGAGCTCTCTCAGCCCCACCGACCTCACAGGATGCCTGTGGTGGGGAGGGGAAGGGAAGGAGTTTGTAAGCCGCTCTGAGACTCCCTTGGGTAGTGAAGGGCCATGGGGTATAAATCCAATCTCTTCTTCTTCTTCTTCTAATTTAGGCAGTAGCCAAATCACTCGCTCACAGCTTTAATGCCAGTAGCTCACGGAGTAGAATATTTGCTCACAGGACTCCACAGCTTAGAGGGAGCATCGACTCCTGGTCCCATTGCGCGGGGCAGAAGGGGCCGTGGATGTGCAGGAATTGGTAGCGATGAGGGCTTCCCCTTCCTTGCCGTTCCAGCTGAGACGGGGGTCAACGATGATGAAGTTTTGCATCCCTTTGCCTTATGACCTTTTGCAAGGGGCTGATTGTAAAGAGAGGAGAGAAGGCAGGAGCAGTAATAGCAGCAGTGGTGTCCGGCAGTGTTCCCTCTAAACTGAGTTGGTGTGAGCTAGCTCACATTTTTTTAGCCTCCAGCTCACATGTTGTTTTTTTCTTAGCTCAGGAAGGAGGGCTCCAGAGCAAACTAACTTATGCAGTAGCCAAACTGCTTCCTCACGGCTTTAATGCCAGCAGCTCACAAAATAGAATTTTTGCTGACAAAACTCCACAGCTTAGAGGGAGCATTGATGTCCGGGAATCTGGGTGCTAATCCAGTTTGGTGTCGTGGTTAGATGCACGGACTCTAATCTGGGAGAACTGGGTTTGATTCCCCACTCCTCCACTCACACCTGCTGGATGACCTTGGGCAAGCCATAGTTCTCTCAGAGGTGTTCTTGAAAAAGAGCCGTTTCTGTCAGAGCTCTCTCAGCCCCGCCTACCTCACAGGGTGTCTGTTGTGGGGAGGGGAAGGGAAAGGAGTTTGTAAGCCGCTCTGAGACTCCCTTGGGTAGTGAAAGGCAAGGTATAAATCCAATCTCTTCTTCTTCTTCTTCTAATTTAGGCAGCAGCCAAATCACTCGCTCACAGCTTTTATGCCAGTGGCTTTTCCCGCCGCTTCCTCCAGCTCTCCAGATGCACAGCTGAAGCAAAGCCATCCCCTGAAGGGCCGTTTACGAAACGCCAGTGCTCCCTTTTGTCTCGAGTTCCTTTTGTGCACGGAACTCACCACCGTCTGCCTTTCCTCGTACTGCTGGCACATTCTTACTTCTCTGGTCATCCTTTGTCGGCATTCACAGAATTGCTTGTATCTGTGGGGAGATAGGAATGAAAGAGCGACAACATCTTCGAGGCTTGGCGTCGTTCTTGGAAACGCTGGGTCATCGTCGCGACTGCCTCTCAGCTTGTTGTGTTTCCCTGGCCCTATCACAATGGCGCAGCGTCTTATCTTTTATCTCAGCTCGCTCGCAGATAAGCAAGCTTCTAGGAAAGCAAGAAGGGCCTTTTCCTGGAACAGAACTTTGATTCGTCCCAGACAGTGCCCCCCTCTCAGCTGTGGAGTCTTGTGAGCAAAAACTCTTACTTTGTGAGCTGCTGGCATTAAAGTTGTGAGCCCGCGATTTGGCTATACTGCATTAAACTAGTTTGCTCTGGAGCCCTCCTTCCTGAGCGAAGGCAAAAATGTGTGAGCCGGAGGGTAAACAACCGTGAGCTAGCTCCCACTAGCTCAGCTTAGAGGGAACACTGGTCCCAGGCACATCTTATTGGCCGGAAAACGAGACGCAGAGAAGTCCTTGCACTCACACCCCGCTTCTGTTTTGAAGCCCTGAGCCATTCCCCCCCGGTTCTCTGCAGGACTGGCCATTGAAAGCATTCCTTTTCCTTCTGCCTTCGTTCTTCGTGAACAGGACTGGTGGTCACAGGATCATAGAACACAGGATCATAGAACTAAAAAGCTGGGAGGGGCCGAAAGACCATGCAACCCCAAGCCCCTCCTGCACCTAAAGCATCCGTGACAGCTAACCTCCACTGAAACACCTCCAAGGAGGGAGAACCTACAATCAATGCTCCCTCTAAGCTGTGGGGTCTCGTGAGCAAAAATTCTACTTTGTGAGCTGCCGGCATTCAAGTTGTGAGCGAGCGGTTTGGCTCCTGCATCAGTCAGTTTGCTCTGGAGCCCTCCTTCCTGAGCGAAGGCAAAAATGTGTGAGCCGGAGGCTAAAAGACTGTGATCTAGCTCACACTAACTCAGCTTAGAGGGAACCCTGCCTACAATATCCCCCGGGCACTGAACTGCCCTTGTTAAAATGTTTTGCCTACTGTCCTGCTGATATTTCCCTAGCCGTGAGTTGAGCCCATTATTAGAAGGCCTGTCCTCCACTACCAATTCCCCTCACCTCCTCTAAATGACAGCCCTTCGGATATCCAAAAAGAGTAATCCTATCCCCCCCCCCGCAACCTTCCCTTCTCCAGGCCGAACTCCCCCAATTCCTGCAGCCTCTCTTTTGTAAGGCTTTGTCTCCAGACCCCTAATTGTCAAGAGTCACTCTCCTCTGCGCCCGCTCTGAAGTTTCTATGCCCTTTCTACTACAAGGCCTCCAGAAATGGACACAGTACTCCAAATGGGGGTCTGACCCGCTCAGTATACAGTGGCTACTCCCCCGGGTCTCGGGTGCTAGACGCCATGGATTTGTCGATACACACCGGCCGCTCGCGCTCAATTTGCAGTCCACCGAACCCCCAAGGTCCCGTTTGCACCCGCAACGACCTGTTCCTGCCTATATTTGCTGTCTAAAAATGTTGGCAGTGGATGTTAAAAAAAAAAAAAATTAAGATAGTTTTCGTATTTTGCTTACCCACCCGCCCACTCCCCATAGAAAGCCACAAACCACAGCTCTTGTTTGCAGACGTACAGAATACGTATTGATATGGATTATTCGAAGGAAAGGGAGGGTTCCCAGGTGTCCCCCCCACACACAGGTGCCCCTCAAGGGCTGAAGTGGGGAGGGACTGAACTGGGTGCCTCCCTTGCCTGACCCCCACCACCACCACCAAGGGCTTTTCCCCAAACATCTTTCTCTTTCTGCACTTTCCTTTCTCTTCGATCCTCCTCTCACACCTCTCCCTTCGCCCCAGCTAAAATGTTGCACGATTTCTTGGACAGAACCTTTCTAGGGGAACCCTAACCCCGAGCCCAACACTAGAAGAAGAAGAGAAGAGATTAGATTTATACCCCGCCCTTCACTACAAACTCCTTTCCCTTCCCCTCCCCTGTGAGGTCGGTGGGGCTGAGAGAGCTCTTTCCAGAACTGTCCTTGAGAGAACAGCTCTGACAGAACTGTGGCTTGCCCGAGGTCATCCAGCAGCTGCAAGTAGAGGAGGAGTGGGGAAGCAAACCCGGTTCTCCCAGATTAGAGGCCGCACACTTAACCACTAAACCAAAGTGGCTCACCCACCCCAAGGAGTGCCACAAGAAAAATAAAAAATTGGAAGTGGGGGGGCCTGGGGGCTGGATGGGAAGTGGGGGGGCACAGCACTAAGTTGGGGGGGCACTGTCACTGCGGGCCTGCCAAGTGACCATTTTTGCTTCTGCTGCTTTCTCCCCCCCCCCAACCAGGCCATCCGCGTCTTCTTCATGCTGCGTTCCCTGTCGCTGCATCTGCAGGGGGAGCCGGAGACCCAGCTGCCCCTGACGAGAGAAGAGGACCTGATCAAGATGGAGGAAATCCTGAACCTGAGTGAGTGGCCGGTCGGGAAGGCGGCCGCGCAACCTCCGTGGCGCTCTCCCGCCTCGCCCGTGGCTCCAGCGGCCGCCGCTGAGCCGCCGCATGGAACGGCCGCTTTCCCGAGGGCTGAGCCCACTGCGGAGGGTCAGCCACCTCATTTTATTTTACTGACTTCATTCCTTTCGCTTTTATTTGATTCGTTTATACCCCCCCGCCTTTCTCCCCAATAGGAACCCAAAGCGGTTTACGGTATCCTTCCCTCCTTCGCTTTATCCTCACAAAACCACCCTGTGAGGTAGATTTGGCTGAGAGAGGGTAACTGGCCCCAAGGTCACCCATTAAGCCTCTACGGCACAAGCAGGGATTCGAACCTGGGTCTCCCAGATACTAGTCTGACACTCTTCACCAGTCAGGGAAGTGAGTCAGTGTGAGCCAGCTCACAGTTCTTTAGCCTCCGGCGCACACATTTTCGTCTTCGCTCAGGAAGGACGGCTACCGGAGCAAACTCATGTATGCAGCAGCCCAATCGCTTGCTCGCTCACAGCTTTAGTGCCAGGAGCTCACAAAGTAGAATCTTTGCTCACAAGACTCCACGGCTCAGAGGGAGCATTGGATGGGACCAGTGTTCCCTCTAAGCTGAGTTAGTGTGAGCTAGCTCAGTTTTTTAGCCTCCAGCTCACATTTTCGTCTTCGCCCAGGAAGGATGGCCCCAGAGCAAGCGGTGTAAGCTGTTCCGGGTTGTTGTTGTTGTTAATAATAATAATAATTATTATTATTATTATTTATTTATTTATTTATTTATTTATTTATACCTCACCCTAATTTATGCAGCGGCCAACTTTAATGCCAGTAAGTAGCTCCCCACTTTAATGCCAGTAAGTAACTTACTAAGCAGAATTGTTCCTCACAAGACTCCACAGCTTAGAGGGAGCATTTTCACCACTACACCCTAAGGCATAATATAAACAATGTGCTCCCGTTCTCTTGATAATGCTCCATTGTTTTAATTAAGTATACACCACACTTTACACCCTGCCTTTCTCCCCAGTGGGGGACCCAGAAAAGCTTGCACCGTTCTCTCCTTTTTAACCCTCACGATGACCCTGCGAGGTAGATAAGAACTTGAGAGTATGTGAGTGGCCCAAGGTCCCCCAGCGAGCTTCCCTGGAAGAATGGGAGATTCGAACCTGGGTCTCCCAGATCCGAATCCGGTGCTCTAACCATTACACCACGGGAGCCCCCTAAGGCTTTGCGTTGTGTTTCAAAATGTGTTTGGATTCATTCTGGGTAGGGTTGGCGTGTGTCGGTTCTGGCTACCCGGGAGGGGTCTAGTGGTGAAGCGGTTGCCTCCTTGGCCAGGGAGGCCCTGATTGGCCCCCGTTTCACTGCCAAGAGGTGCTTCTTTTGTTTCATGCATGCATAGGTAGTGTTCTCTCTCTATCTCTCTCTCCCCCTCCCTCCCTCCCTCCCTCCCTCTTTGTTTTTTGGAACCGTGAAAAGCCATTTCTGCAATGACGCTAACTGGAAGCCCGAGGATATTCTTGGAACATTTCCCCGGTTTGTTTTCATTACCAATTAATCGCATGCTGGGAAGCGTAGGGCCCCCGTTCCATCTTGACACACGCGACCCACGTTAATGGAAACACCCGGCCGTTTTTGTCGTGGTGGATTTCGGGGGCCCTGTCCCGCCACCGTCGGCTGGATTAGTCGGGCACTGAAGTTGACTGCCGTGAACCTGGATGCGGGGCTGCACGCGGGTTTGCGCTGCCACAGCCCTGCCCTTGTAGGCGGTTTCATCATTCCCCCCCCCCCCCCCCAAGTCTACACAGGGCTCCCCAACCTTTTTGAGCCCATGGGCAACCTTTGAATTCGGACACAGGGTAACGGGCGTGAACTCCAAATGGCCACAGGGAAGGCAGAACCCAGCATAAGAACATAAGAGAAGGCAATGTTGGATCAGGCCAAAGGCCCATCCAGCCCAACACTCATTGTGTCACACAGTGGCCAGAAATACCAGGAGCCCTCAGGAGGTCCAGCAGTGGGGCCAGGACACCAGAAGCCCTCCCACTGTTGCTCCCCCAAAAGCACCAAGAATACAGAGCATCCCTTGCCCCAGACCGAGAGTCCCTGTCTATACCTTGTGGCTAACAGCCACTGATGGACCTCTGCTCCATATTAAGAACATAAGAGAAGCCAATGTTGGATCAGGCCAAAGGCCCATCCAGTCCAACACTCTGTGTCACACAGTGGCCAGAAATACCAGGGGCCATCAGGAGGTCCAGCAGTGGGGTCAGGACACTAAAAGTCCTCCCACTGTCGCCCCCACCCCCAAGCACCAAGAATACCGAGCATCCCTTGCCCCAGCCTGAAAGTCCCTATCTATACCTTGTGGCTAATAGCTACTAATGGACCTCTGTTCCATATGCTTATCTAATTCCCTTTTGAAGCCGTCCATGCTTGTAGCCGCCACCACTTCCTGTGGCAGTGAATTCCATGTGTTGATCACTCTTTGGGTGGAGAAGGACTTCCTTTTATCCGTTCTAACCCGACCGCTCAGCAATTTCATGGAGTGCCCACGAGTTCTTGTATTGTGAGAAAGGGCGAAAAGTACCTCTTTCTCAACCTGCTCTATCCCATGCATAATCTCGTAAACCTCGATCGTGTCAGCCCTCAGCCGTCGTTTCTCCAAGCTAAAGAGCCCCAACGCTTTAAATTGTCTTCCTAGGGAAAGTCTTCCAACCCTTTTATCACTCGAGTTGCCCTCCCATGCAGAGGAAGCCTAGTTGCAGGGGATAAGAGGATTACGTTTTAAAGATACACCTGGGAAAGAGGGGTCAAAGAGAGAATAAAACCAATACCGTAGTGGCAGCCTTTGCTAAACTGTTACTTTGATCTCCGCAGCCAATCGGATCTCAAATGGGCAGTCGGAAGCCTTACTGGGGCAGGAGCCCCGCCCACTTTCCAACAGTGCTTCGCGGGCACCAGGTGAGGTGTTGGTAGGTGCCGTGGAGCCCCCGGGCCCCACGTTGGGGACCCTCGGTCTTACAAGCATTGCTCCAGCACCACAACGCCGTCCTGGCAGAGGCGAGTACAGGGCCTGGAGCAAACCTTGCGGTTCTTGGCCGGAGTTTGGGGAAGTGGCTCTGGGTTGCTATGTGCGGAGGCAGATTTTTCTGAAGAATTTGCAAGCTCCGGCCGCGAGAACAGAACCGTCCGTGCCTCATGGTCAAGGAAAGTTCGAGCCTCTGTTTCCTGAACAGCTACCCCCACCCCCAGCGACTTCTCAGTGTCCTTGCTCATAATGTGGAAGGGAAACTGGGTATCCTTCAGTTGCAAAAACTGGACTGCAATCAGCATTCCTGTCCCTGCTGCGTGAGTGAGGAGGTGCAGTTCTTTAAAGTAAAGGGCTTCAGGGTCAAGTCCGTAGAATTTTATTTTTACACTGATTTGGGCTACTGGGCAGTCCCATCCGATGCTCCCTCTAAGCTGTGGAGTCCTGTGAGCAGAAATTCTACTTTGTGAGCTCCTGGCGTTACAGTTGTGAGCGAGCGATTTGGCTCCTGCATAAATTAGCCTGCCCTGGAGCCATCCCTTCCCGGTCTAAGACAAAAACGTGTGAGCCGGAGGGTAGAAAACTGTGAGCTAGCTCACGTCAACCCAGCTTAGAGGGAACACTGGTACCACCCGAATCGCTGAGTCTAACAACTGCCCTTGGCCACTGGGATCGCTGAGAGGAAAGCGTTGCCTCCCCCCCCCCCCCCAAAACAAAGCAAAAAAAAGTGGCTCGCGACCAATTGCTATTTCTGCTGCCGTCGCCTCCTTTATCTATCTAAGCACTTTTTTATACTGCCTTTCCCGCCCGGTCAGGGTCCCCGAGGGGGCAGGCATGGAAACATTAGATCAATTAAAACCACGTTTGAAATTGCAGAATAATTTAATAAGAACGCTTATGCAAACAACACCCGAACCAAGGAAGGAGGGCCAGTAACCCTTACCGGGGGTGGGGGGGCACACCACATGAAACAGAATGCTGGCAAAAGACACCAGTGGGGGGGGGACAAATCTCCGTGGGGGAGGGAGTTCCAAAGGGGACGCCTCTCTCTTGCATCCGGCCAGTTGCTGCTCTCTGCACACGTGTGTGAGATTTGGCTGGGGGGGGGGGGGGTTCTCCAGTACTTTGGGTTGCTG